GCCCCCCCCCAGCTCCTGCCGGATTCAGCAGAGGCAGTCGCAGGAGCAGGATTTGGCCGATGTTGCTGTGGTTTGTAAGTCCCCTGGTGCCACCCTGCTCCAAGGAGCCGTGCCACCAGCAGCCCCTTCTTCCCCCGGCAGCAGCAGGGTGATTTCAGTGGGGTTTAGCCTCGATGCCAGGCTGTGGGACTGTGCCCACAGGTCTTCCACCTCTTCCTGGTGCAGAAGAGCCGCCGTTTGGTTTTGTCTTCCAAGCCAGCGCCCGCCCAGCGTGGGGCTTGGCACCATACGGCCACGAAACCATGAAACTGCCCATAAAGAGGCAGGAAACCCGCTCCTGCTTTCGCCCTCCGGCACGTCACTGCCTAACGCCAGCTCCAAAACCCAGGCAGGCGGGAACGGCCGCAGCAGCTCTGGCTCAGCCCTGGGTGGGCTCTGTCCCTGTGTCCCCCCCCCAGGACGCAGTGGGAGCGTGAGCCCCCTCCCAGCTGAGCACTGCAAAATCCTCCCCTGCATTTTCATTGCAGGAAAGCAAGGAAATTTTGTATTTTGTTTCGGTTTATTTTATTTTATTCTATTTTATTGCCCCCCCCCCAGGGGCTGGGCAAAGCGGCACTGCTGTCTGCACCAGTGAATTTTTAATTGCAAAACTCAATGCCTCAGCACCCAGCGCTGCCTGCTGGGATGGATGGCTCCGGGAAGCATGCATGTTTATTTCCTCTCACCCCCCCAATTTATACTGTGCTATCCGTCTTTAACGCTTCAGTCTTCATTTCCTCTTTTTAAAGCCCAGCCTTCCCCTTTCCTAGCTCCTTCCCCTGTACCAGCCCCCCAGTCTCGCCGCCCGTGCCGGCGTGGGGGGGCCGGGGGTGGTGGCCGAAGCGAGCCGTGCCCTGCGCAAGCACCAGCAGGATGCCCAGCGCCCGCTAAGCGCCTGCAAACCTTATAAATCTCTTCCCTTGACATCTCCCGGGCGCTGGTTAGCGTCCAGGGATGGCGATGCTGCGCGGACGATGTCACCCGGCACGGTGCCGGGTTTCCCACCCGCCTTTGGAGCAGGGATTTATCCCTCGCTGATGTGGATCACAGCCCACGGGAGGACGGATTTTGGCCGCCCTGCTTTTTAATCCCCGGAGCGCACGATGCCCGAGTACTGCAAGGGTGGCTCCGTGGCACCTTGCGTCCCAGGGGACGTGGAGGGGCCCCGTGTGCTCAAAACGTCCCCGTGTTGGGGACGAGGTTTTCCCACCGCCGGTGTCGAGGCAGGTCCCATCCGAAGCCTGCCCTGCGTTGCTGGGCACGGCTCAGGTGGGCAGATGTTCCCTTTCTGCCTGCGTGCTCCCTGCCCGCCGGATGGTTTGCATAAGGCAGGAAATGTCAGCAAGAGGCTCTGGTTAATGGTGCTTCATCCACCGCTCTCATTAAAACCCTCTCGAGTGGAGGGCTGGAGATGGGAGCGGGCAGGCAGAAAGCTGTTCTTAGCAACCTGCCTGCGCTGCCAGCACCACGTGTGGCCCGAAATGCTTGGGGTGCCTGGTGATGGGGATGCCAGCATGGTACCCGCGATGCACGACCCAGAGAAAAGAACCCCCCCACAGCCGTGTTTTGCAGGGCAGGGAGCACCTCAAACCCTTTGAATCCCCCAAACCCTTTTAACCCCCCCCAGCAGCTGGCTTTCAACCTCCCTGGTTTTGGGATGGAGAAATCGCTCCGTGCTTGGGGTCCCCACCCGTGCGGTCCCCCCCCTTCTCCGGGACACTCGTGGCTGGCTGATGAAGGCTACGAGGACCGGCGTTAATGAGTAACCGTGCTCAGAGCAGGCTGCTCTGTGCCAGCTGCCTGCGGGACGGGAGCCACAACCTTTCCGCCCTCTTGGCCAGCACCCGGGTCCCTCTGGCTCCTCTGCCTCCGGCCGGAGCCCCCACCCCTGCCTGCAACCGAGTCACCTCGTTTCTGAATAACTGGGGCAATAAGCTGTAAAATGATGATTTTTTTTTTGGCAGCGGCGCACAGGAGCGATGACTCGGGTCATCCCCAGGGAGGAAGCGGGGTCAGAGCATCACGGCGGCTGCCAACAGCCCGTGGCTACCGTGGCACACGCTGCCTGCCCTTCACACCCTCTGCATCACTGGAGGTGTCCGCAGGGATGTCCCCGTCCCTATGGAGGTGTCGGGCTCTGGGTGCACCCTGGGGCTGGAGGAGGCTGCTGTGGCCTCACTTCCAGTGTGTGCAACGGGGCTGCGGGTGCCTGAAGCCGTTTCGGGGAAAGGGTGGGTTTTGTTTGTTCTTTGTCTTCCTATTTGGAAGAGCAAAGCCACTTTCAGCTGCCAGCGGGATGTGGTGGCCGGACACGGTCAGGGATGCGTTTCCCCGGGCTGGGAGTGAAGCCGGGGTCACCATGTGCCTGCAGCCATGGTCAAATCCACCCGCCGAATTCTTTGGCTTCTGGGGCTGCCTCTGTACCCCAGCACCCCATAGCCCCAGGGTGTCCCTACAAGGGGCACCTGCGAGGTGGGTTTGCCAGGGCTGAAGGTTTTGGTCACCCATGACCACAAGAGCCCCATGGGGTTGGGGTGGGGGGCCAGGGCCGTGGCTGGCGGCGCTGACAGAGCCGTGCCATGTCCTTCTAGCACGGGGAGCAGCGACCCATACTGCATCGTGAAGATCGACAATGAAGCCATCATCAGGTGAGTGGCTTCATGTCCCTGGCTGGTCCTCAAACCTGCTGGCACAGCTGGCTCCTAGCGGGTTCCTCCATCCACCCTGCTGCAGGCACAATGTTGTTGTTGTTGTTATTATTATTATTCCCTGCTTTGGGCTGAGCTGCTCCTGCAGACGCAGGCTGCGATGTCTAACAGCTCATGGTCACCCCCCACCCTGTAAGTGACCCCCCCATGTCTTGCCAGCCCTGAACCCCAAGACAGGACGGGGACAGGGACCCATTCCCTGCCCCAAATGAGGGTTCAAAACTGTGGGTGCTGCCCCCCGCCATGTGTCACAGAAAGCTGGGGAGCTCACAGGGCTGGGGAGGTGGGGAGCGCCCCGGTGAGGCAGCCCCATGTCCCCCCCCATCACCAGTCCCATCTGCCCCGCAGGACTGCCACGGTGTGGAAGACGCTGTCCCCGTTCTGGGGGGAGGAATACGAGGTGCAGCTCCAGCCCAACTTTCACAGCATCTCCATCTACGTCATGGATGAGGATGCGCTCAGGTAGGGGCAGGTCGGCTGCAGGGCGGTGGGGGCTCGGCATGGGGACTCAGAGGTTGTTGCTTTGCCTGCCTGCGTGCTCAACCCCATTGTAGACACCAGAGAATCCACACCCGGCCATGCTGGCTTGGGCTTTGGGACACAAACGGGTGAAGATATTTCCTGAGGTTGTTTTCCAGCTGGCAGCAAAGGGTGGCTGACACACTCCATGGGGACAGACACGCCGTGGTGGCTCCAGCCCAGGATACCCGGGCACCATTTTTCCCCGCCGAAACGCACGGCAGTGGCTGTGCCGCCTGGGGCCCGGCGGAGAGGGCAGGCTCCGATCCCACGCCGTGTCCTGCTCTCGGCTTCTGTTTTCCAGCCGCGATGATGTTATCGGGAAGGTCTGCATCACCCGGGACATGCTGGCGGAGCACCCCAAGGGTAGGGGGACGGGTGGCCGGCAGGGTCCCAGCAGGGACCCGTCTCCCACCCCTGCCACGAGCCGGTCCCAAAGGTCCCCCCAGTGACACCCCCCCCATGAGGGTGCCATCTTTTCCCGCAGGCTACAGCGGCTGGATGAGCCTCAGCGAGGTGGACCCCGACGAGGAGGTGCAGGGGGAGATCCACCTGCGGGTGGAGGTCCTGGGGAGCCCGGGCAGCCGGCGGCTGCTGTGCTGCACCGTGCTGGAAGCCAGGTGAGGAGGGGACACGGGGGTGGCAGGGGGCTGCGTGTGCAGCTGGGATGCGTACGGTGAGTTCTGGCTGCTCCGTGACTCGGTTTCCCCACTGTATCAGGGTCTTCTCGGTTATCCTGCCTTGGGTGCAGAGCATCCTCCCCACCACCCAGCAGCTGACGGGGGTCCCGGGGCAGGGTCCACCTCGTCTGCTGGTCTTTAGGGTGTGCATCTCGAGATGCTGGGGAACCGAGGAGGGGAGTGGGTGCCGCAGGTGCCCTTATTTTATGGATACTGAGAAATTCCCCCTCTCCTCGGCAGGGATTTGGCCAGGAAGGACCGGAACGGCGCCTCCGACCCCTTTGTCCGCCTGCGCTACAACGGGAAGGTGCAGGAGAGCACCGTGAGTTTGACTTCAGTTTATCGTGATCCCCCAATCTGCTGGCGGTGCAGGTGAAATTATCCCACTGGGAAGCCCAGACCTCAGCCAGGAGCCATCCCTGTCCTCCGGCATCCCCATCTTGGCATCCCTAGGGGGGTGTTGGATCCACCTGGCGAGAGGGGATGAAGCCGTCGCTTTTGCAGGTGGTCAAGAAATCCTGCTACCCCCGCTGGAACGAGACCTTTGAGTTCGAGCTGGCTGAGCCCGCCGGGGAGAAGCTGTGCGTGGAGGTGTGGGACTGGGACCTCGTCGGCAGGAACGACTTCCTGGGCAAGGTGAGCCCCCAAACCTCGTCACCGCTGCCGGGGGGGGTCTGCCCGGCTGCCTGCCCGACCCCCTCCTGCCATCCCCTCCCAGGTGGTGTTCAGCATCCAGGGGCTGGAGGCGACCGGGCAGGAGGAGGGCTGGTTCGGGCTGCGGCCAGACAAGTCCAAGCCGAGGGAGGACGAGTGAGTCTCAGCATGGGGTTGTTGGGGGGTGCCAGGGATGGTCCCAGTGCCCACAGTGGCGTTGGGGAGGGGGTTATTCCTGGGAAGCATCATCCCTTTTGGAGGGGCAGCTCCTGGAAATGCCCTTGTCTGGGAGCAGGGGGTAAGTGCAGGGCAGCCCCACCTGCCTGGCCAGGCTTTCCCGGGCTGTCGGGCCACCTCCTGCTTGGTGAAGTACTTCTCCATCCCTGCATCCATCCCTCCATCCACCCACCCTGTGCTCCTGCAGGCACCAAGGCAGCCTGGGCTCGCTGCAGCTGCAGGTGAGGCTGCGGGACGAGACGGTGCTGCCTTCCCACTGCTACCAGCCCCTGGTCCAGCTCCTGTGCCAGGAGGTGAAGTTGGGGCGCCAGGTGAGGGGTCCATGCAAAGCCCTGCCGGGGCACCCACCTTCCTCCGGCTCTCTGCCAGGGCGTTCGTCTCCCTCGGCCCATCATGTCGTGGTGCCTCTCCCCACCAGGACGGCCAAGTGCACCTGGTCACCCTCCTGGATGAAACTACCACGGCCGAGTGCCGGCAGGAGGTCGCCATCAACTTGGTCAAACTCTTCCTGGGCCAAGGGCTGGTCAAGGAGTTCCTGGACCTGCTCTTCGAGCTGGAGCTGGCCAAGCCCTGTAAGGCTGGAGCGGGGAGCGGAGCCAAAGGCTTCCAACCATCTCCTGGGGCTGCAAAACCTCCGGGACCTTGCGCGGTGACTTTTCTGGGGTGATGGTTGAGGTTCAGCCATCACGCTGTGCTCCGGGTGGGAACCTGTTGGGTTCATCCCAAGCAACTCATGGGGCTGAGGTTGGCTGAGGTTGGTGGAGGAGCTTGAGGTTAGGAAATCCCTGTAACTCCTGTAGAAATGGCCGGGGGTGGAGGGCACAGCCCCTGTAAATGCCCCCCATGATTGCAGTTGCCCAGTGGGTGACCTGCGGCCATCCCCCAGGCCACAGACCCTCTCCTGTTTTGCAGGCGAGCCCAACACTTTGTTCCGGAGCAACTCCCTGGCCTCGAAGTCGATGGAGTCCTTCCTCAAGGTGCCACACCACCCGAAACCTGCTCTTCCCAGGTCACCCTGCCTCTGGGCTGTCCCCACTGGGGCCAGTTCCTGGGGGGAGTACTGGGAGGGCTGGTGGGGCTGTGTCTTCCCTTGGGACTGGGAGGTTGGAGAAGGTCCCCTGGGTCACCCTTATCAGGGAGTCTAGGGGTGTTGGGTGCCAAACCTGTGGCCGTGCCCCCCATCACCATCCCCTGCGCCGTCCCTCGGCAGGTGACGGGGATGCCGTACCTGCACGCCGTCCTGGGACCCACCATCACCCGCGTGTTCGAGGAGAAGAAGTACGTGGAGCTGGACCCCGGCAAGGTGGAGATCAAAGACGTCGGGTAAGGGGTGCACGGGGCGGTGGGGCAGGGGGGGGCCCTGGCTGTGGGGTTGACGGTGCCAGTGCCCGCAGGTGCTCGGGGCTGCACCGGGTGCAGACGGAGGGCGAGGTGATCGAGCAGGGCCGCCAGCACCTCCAGTCCTACCTGGGCGAGCTGCTGGACGCCATCATCAAGTCGGCCCCCGCGTGTCCCCCCGTCATCCGCGCCGCTTTCCAGCAGCTCTTCCGGCGCGTCGGGGAGCGATTCCCCCAGCACCAGGTTGGGCTGCGGCGGGGGATGGACCAGGGGTCAAACAGGGACGTCCCCAGGGGACAGGGTACACTGGGTGCAGTCCCCAGCTTTGGTCAATGGAGTCCCCTCTTGGGTGGGGGGCAGCCCCCAGGGACGGGGGGCTGTGCTGCACCCAAACAACAACCCAGTTTGATGTTGAAGCCAGCCCCTCTGTGCCTGGCACGTCGATGTATGCGGTACCCGGGGCTGTCCTGCGTTGGCGCAGACCCTCACACCTCTCCCCCGCCTCGGTCGGCTGCAGCACGTCAAGTTCGTGGCTGTCACCAGCTTCCTCTGCCTCCGCTTCTTCTCGCCGGCCATCATGACCCCCAAGCTCTTTCACCTGCGGGAGACGCACGCCGACGCGCGCACCAGCCGCACGCTGCTGCTCCTGGCCAAGGTGGGACGAGGGGGGATGCCGGGGGGGGGGTGGTGGTGTCACCCAGGTGGGGTTTTTGGGGTGCTTGGCTGTTTCCCATTGGGGAGGGTTGGTGACGCCGCCGTCCCCGGGGGTCTCCAGGCTGTCCAGATGGTGGGCAACATGGAGCCGGCAGCCGGGCGGGCCAAGGAGACCTGGCTGGCACCGCTGCTGCCCGCCCTGCAGCAGGGCATCGCCCAGATGAAGGACTTCATCTCCCGGCTGGTGGGGACGGAGGAAGAGGAGGAGGAAGGTGAGGGAGGACTGCTGGGCCCCCCCGCCGTGGTGGTGAAGGAGGGGCCGCTCTTCGTCCACAAGACGCGGGGCAAGGGGCCGCTGCTGGCCGCCGCCAAGAAGCTCCACTTCTGCCTCACCGGGGAGGCCCTCAGCTTCGGCAAGAGCCCCGGCGCGGAGGTAGGGGGGTGCCGGGGGGTGGTGGCAGGGTCCGTGGCACTGACCCCCTGCATCACATCTGCTGTGCCCCCCATCAGCGTAGCGGCGCCATCGCCCTGGCCGACATCCTCGCTGCCGAGAAGGTGGAGGAGAAGAGCTTCGGGAGCTCCCACGTCATGCAGGTGGTCTACGTGGGCGCGGGTGGGCAGCAGGAGACGGCCTACCTCCAGTGCAAGGTGGGACGGGGACAACACGCACGTACCCCCCCCCAGAGGGGCGTCACAGCCCCCTGACTGTCGTCCCCCCGCAGTGCGTCAACGAGCTGAACCAGTGGCTGTCGGCCCTGCGCAAGGTCTGCGTCAACAACCCCCGCGTGCTCCGTGCCTACCACCCCGGCGTCTTCCGCGGGGACAAGTGGAGCTGCTGTCACCAAAAGGAGAGGACAGGTACTGGGGAGGGCACCCGGGACCCCCTCGGGGGTGCTGGCGGGGGGTGTCGTCGTCGTCCCCCCGCCGCCGTCGTGAGCCCGCTGTCCCGCAGGGCTGGGGTGCGACCGGACCCGGCACGGCGTCACCCTGCAGGACTGGAGTGACCCCCTGGACCCCGCGGCGGAGGCGCAGCGACTCTTCCACCACCTCCAGGGGCTCCGAGGGACCCTCCGGTGAGCCCCCGCCCTGGGGAGACCCCCCTGCACCCCCTCCCCTCCTCCTGCCAACAGCCCATCCCTCTCCTCCTCCTCTCCCTAGGGAAAAGTACTGGGAGCTGCTGGAGCCAGAGGGTGCCCCAAATGGCGCCCGGGATGAAGGTAGGTTTGGGGGCGTTGGGATTTTGGGGACCCCACTGGGGATGCTCTGGTTGGGACTTGTCCCCAGTCGTTGCGGGGGGGCTGTGGTGGTTGCGGGGTGCCCCCCTTGGGGGTGCGGGGGTCTCACTGCTGCTCCCCCCCTGCTCCCTGCAGGCACCCCCCTGCCCGAGGGGCTGAGCCGGCTCTTCGGGGTGCTGGGGGACCTGGAGGGCTGCCACCGCCTGGCGCAGCCCCCGGCCCCCCCCACCCCTGCCCTGCTGCAGCTGCAGACGTGAGGGACCCGGTGCAGACCCCCCCTGCCCCGGGGGGGTGGGGGTCCCCATGACTTGGGGACCGCGGCGGTGGCAATAAAGGCACTTTGTACCCTGCAGCCCTGTCCTGTCCGTGGAGACGCTGCTGGCCACGGGGCTGGGCACCGGTGGCTCGGGGTGGGGGGGACGGGACAGCGCTGGGCTGGGGAGGGGTTAAAGCTCTGCTGGTGGCACTGGTGGTTCTGCTGGTGGCAGCGCTGGTGGCCCTGCTCATGGTGGCCCTGGTGACAATCGCCGGTGGCACTGCTGGTGCCATTTCTGGTGGTCTGGCTGGTGGTGGTGTCACCGGTGGCCCTGCTGATGGTGGCCCTGGTGACAATCGCCGGTGGCCCTGCTGGGGCCATTTCTGGTGGTCTGGCTGGGGGGGGGGCCACCGGCGGTT